TACTGTTGGCCACGTGAGACATAGCGTTGTTATAGAGCGACTGTTGAAATTAAGTGTATCGTAAAGTTATATACAGAAAGAATAAACCAGTTTTATTTAAGAAAGGACTTGTGTCGCTAAAGTTTCGTCGGAACGAATTTACGGAAAATTAACTAACGACTGGAGGCGTAACAATATTATCTTAAATACAAAGGAAATATTTTTTTTATTTTAAGAAGTGTATATTTATTCTTTATAATTATCAAAAAAGCAAATGTTATATAACTCAGGCTCTTTTTGCACCATTTTGCGGCGGTCTTTTGCTGTTTCAAAATACAAATAAACCGAGCTCCTAGGTCTCATCTGATTGGAGACACTTCTTTCTATTCTACTTACGTGGTATGATTACCTCGTCCTTCCCAAAAAATTAACACTTGCATGTCAGTGGGAGTCACAATGTAGGGAGAATTTAAAAATCTTAAAAGGTTAAATCCTAATATCTCACTTAGGGTTGGGACTGTCGGGGCAGAGTTTTCCAATGAGGGATCTACCCTCATTCCACTCGTGTGAATACGCCATTGGACACGAGATACTTTAAATTGTAGATTTTTCTATTTTTATCTATATGCATTCTCTTAGAAGTATGGCCATATGTCGAAAGAAATAATGCAAACAGAAAGTAATAACAAAAAGAGAGAGAGAGAGAGTCATGAAAAAATAACGTTAAATGCTTAAGAGTATTTCCGTAGTACAAGTAGAATAATCACAAAAGCTAATAGGAACGACGTATTGGTACTGCTTGGTATGGCCTACCGATTACGGTACTGGACTTGCAGCCTACGGATCGTGGGATCAAAGCCCATCGTCGTACATGATCGCCCTTTCATCTTCCCTGGAATAGTACTGCGCGAAACTCAACAAACTAAAAATAGTAAAAACTATTAGGTGTTTTATCCAACTAAGGTTTTCCACTAAAATCGTTAATAGTACGTGAAGCATTTTTTGGATAAAAAGTGATGTATCTATCTATCTTTCTCACTCACTGAGTCACGTTCAGTTGAAAAATCTGAATGTGTAGTTTATTAACGATATAAAACAGTTAACGACTGTAAGAGAGTATTACGCTGGATTTGCGTTTTTAAGAAAGAAAAATGTTATCGTTAACTTTGAAGCATTCAGTAATTAGAAAATCTTGCATATAAACTAAATTTTAAAGACTTCTTATTTTTATAACTTTGCATTTTATCTCCAGTGATGCTTATTAAACAGTAATAACCTTAATAGCACTACTGTTATAATTTTTCCAAAGAAAAATACCTGTTTACGAATAAATAGTTCCTACAAACAATAAAGTTAACAAACACCTGCTTGAATGCCGCTTATATATTCCCCAAGCTTTGCTCATAGGAGAGGACGCCAGGTTTCGATATTACATAATGTTGCGTCAGCGAGGTCACGTGACTAGTGTCACGCCACCTATTTTCTAGAAATATCCCGTTCCTTCGTGAATGCTCTAGCATTTACTAGATATATTTTAGTCTGGTATATATATAAGACGCTCACAACGTGAC